AAGAAGAAGAAGAAGAAGAAGAAGAAGAAGAAGAAGAAGAAGAAGAAAAAGAAAAAGAAAAAGAAAAAGAAGAAACACAGACACAGTGTTTGTTCTTTATCACCTATCTCCATTTCTACTGCCTGTGTTTGAGAATCTTCCTCCTTCTCTCCCTCCCATCCTCCTATCTTCTGTCTCTTCCCTCCACACTGTCTTATTTTTCTCTTTTTCCCACCCTGCTCCTTCACAGACAAACTCTCTTTTCTCCTATGATCTTGTTTCTCCCTCCTCATTCCGTTTATTCTCCTACTTCTTTTTCTCCTGTTCTTCCTCCTATCCTCCATCACTCCTCCTTTTTTCTCCTACATTCTCCTTCTCCTTTTCTCCATCTGCTTTTCTCCAACGCATTTTCCTTACTATTTCTTATCCTCTTCCTCCTCTCAACACTTTTTTGCCTCACTATGTAACATGTTTGTCCAAACTAAAACATTCCATCCAAGAGGAAACTCCAAAAGACTCAGGGTGTGCATAAAACTTAAAAGGAGCAACTCACAAGTCTTAGGAAATTTCTGAAACCTATAAGACTCACAAGACCCATCCTTAAGGTTAAATAAGGAAAATAACCACTGGACACAGATTCTCTAGGAGCTCCAAGAATGTTGTTTTTTTTGAATCTTTATCTATATTAGGGTGAGATTTTCAGTGATATAGCTATAAACAGCCCCTCATCATTACTCATGTGAGTAACCCTAATAAACTCATTGTTTTGCCAATGAGTTTGATCATTGTTTTGGCTTGTTGTCCATGAAGGCAAGTAGGCATTTGTTCACATCTCCCCAAGAAAAATCACAAAACACCCCTCTTCTTATCTCTATACTTTTTTGCCACCTCCCCTTCCCTGTACCTCAGTCCCAACCACATGTCTTCTAATTCTCATTCAGGATCCTAAATTGAAACATATCCTTGTTTCTCTTACTTTAAACCTCACACCTGGCAGTGTGTCCTGGGGAGTACCCTGATGCAGGACCGTTCTCCCACCAGGCTTAGAGCTCCTGACAACACTTCTTTCAGCTGCATCCTTAGCACAGGATGGACTGATCATAAAATTGTTATCCAGTTGGAATCCATTATGGGACAATTTGCTGAATGGATAGGTGGATGATACAATGGATTGCACAGCATGTTGTACCCCAAGGTGTCGCTTATTAATTTCTATTCTGGAGGAAATAGGGAAGAGAAGAGCAAACAGGCAGGGAAGAAAGACATTGAGAACAAATGTTATCTGAGACGAAGGAGAGGAAAGTTTATATATATTGAACATCTGCAAAGTGACATCACCTGCCCTCACACACTGTTATATTGTCAGCAATTCTCTTGGAAGGTTAAATATTTCTGTCCCAAAGCATAAATTTCCTCTTGTTAATGAGACAGATACTATTCCCATCAAGTAGTAATAGAAGAATCATAAAAAGGAGACCCCTCCTCTACTTGAGGAGCAGAGCCAGGGACAGGCCCAGTAAGACACCGAGACCTACGCTCACCACTCAATCTCTGTAGACTCTCGGTCCCTCAGGAGCTCCTGCACCTCCTGCCGGCAGCGCTCCTGGTATTCTGGGTGCCTCGCTAGGTTGTACAGGATCCAGGAGAGCCCACTGGCTGTGGTGTCATGGCCTGCAGGGCAGACAGGTAGGCTTAGGTTTCAAAGCTACTTCAGCATCACAAAGTGGATAGCAACCAGGCAGGGAGAAGCCCAGGAAAGACGGGGAAAGGGGACAACGGATGATAGTGGGATGATAGCTGAATGGATAGGGTCCATTCAACATGTTCCCAAAATGGAGGTTTCCTGTTCACTCTGTAGTCCCACACTGGGAGCCTCACCCTCAAACATGAAGGTGTCAGCCTCTGCTCTAATGTCCTCATCTGACAGCTCCTTTCCATTTTCATCCTGGAGACAGACAAGACAAGACACCAGATCACAGCAGTTCTGGGTCTATGTCTAACTTGAGACAGCGCTTAGATCCCAAGCCCACTGTGCCTCTGCATCTCTCTTGATCATCACCAGAGGCCTCCACCCCCAGATATAGTTCTTGACTGTCCTGCCTCCCGTTTGCTTGTTTGTTTTTCCTTGTTGAAGGAGTTGGCGACCTCTGAATATTTTTCCGTTTCTGCATGGTGAGAGATTTCTAGAAAACAAAGGAACAAGTAACCTTGCATATAGGATGATTTTGTGGCCGTATCCTTTGAAGTTGGAGCATAAACATTACTCTTACTACAAGGATCTCCTCCTTAGGAAAGAGGAGTGGATTGCTTTCTGTCAATTGTTCCATAGTTGTTTGGTGGGAATGGTGTCTCCCTACCTCCTTGTCAGCAAGGGAAATGTTCCACACTTTGGGACAGAAAGGGTTGGACTGGCAGGAGAAATACTAACAATATGACATTGTGCAAGCACAGATGATATCATCTTACATACGACCAGGAACTAAACTTCTCCTCTTTCTTTTTCACTTTTAAATACTTCCATGTTTTCCCCCATTACTGTTTTATCCTGCACCAAAGTTCCTATTGTGTTCTCTTACTCGATTCGTGGGTGCTGCATGCAGAAAATGTATCTTCTGTCCTCTGGAATCTATTAGGCTTGCATACCTGTAGAACTCACCTGTGATGGTAAAAAACTTGCTTACATTCCAGAATAAAGTTTTCTCAACATGCAGTGGTATTTGCGCATGAATATGCCATAATGAAATGCATTAGTTTGCACACTCAAAATTTAATTTAAAAATATTCTCTTCCACTCTCTCATCTCTTATTCTCTTCCTCTCTCAACATTGCTTCCTCCCCACACTCCCATCTCATCCCCTTACTTTTACACCCCTCTCCTCTTTCATCTCCTGCTTTCTAGCTCTTTCTCCTTTTCCATCTATTCGTACTCTCTGAAATGAAGAAGACACAAATGTGCCAAATATCTTGTGAAACTTGTGAGACTGATAATGTATTGGTCTTTTTCCTGTGCTGTAAGACCCGATGAACACACAGATGAAATCATCACATCACCTGAGAAAGGAGGAGCCAGTGATGGGAAGCCATTTTTATAATCCTAGGCTGCTAGGCTGGCTGCTGTTATTGTTGGGGATAAGGGATAGGCTGCCCTGATCTTGCAGGTACACAGTTCTAGGCACACATACAGATACAGGTATGATTTCTCAACAACATATCAAGTTATAAATAGAGTAAAATCTGAGGTCCTTCAGCTTCAGATCTAGCAGGGGTATACTGAGTGGATTCTGCTGTTATCTCTATAATTTTTGTTTCTGCTTGTCCCTCCTTTCCTCAAATGACTTCCATGGCCCTTAAGTAGCCTCTACATCAAGTCCCAAATCAGAACTGTCTTTTGATCCCATATTTGGCCTTGTCATTAATCCTATGCCTTAAAGCCGAGCTTGTGGAACAACCTTGTAGTTCTTGACTTTGGCAGTTGGGACAGCAGGATCCATTCACTGACAACACAGTCAGACTGGTCTAAAAATTGCTAACTATACCTGGCACGCATCTGTAATTCCAGTCTTCAAGGTGAGGGCAGGAAGAACATGAGATTGAGGTCAGCCAGGGTTGTTTAGAGAGATTCTATCTTAAAAAAAAAAAAAACCCGCCGGGCAGTGGTGGTGCATGTCTTTAATCCCAGTACTTGGGAGGCAGAGGCAAGCGGATTTCTGAGTTCGAGGCCAGCCTGGTCCACAGAGTGAGTTCCAGGACAGCCAGGACTACACAGAGAAACCCTGTCTCGAACCCCCCCCCCCAAAAATACCTTTGCAAACACAAAAAGAGCTATTTAATGAATTGATTAATTTGTTTTGAGGTGGGGTTGCACTGTGTATCCTTGACTGAAGCTTAATATATAGACCAGGCTGGCCCCAAACTCACCATGATCTTCCTACTGCTGCCTGTGGAATACTGGGATTAAAGGTGTCCATTATCACTCTCAACAAATTAAGTTTAAGCAGCACTATTGCACCTCCTGAGAACCTACCTTGGTCAGCAGCAGCACATCAATGAAATCCAGAGTTTTGGTCTTGGCCTTGGCCTTGAAGACATCATCTTCATGCTTACTGGGGAGAGTACGTCGTCGATCCTGGATGACCGCATCCGTGAAGTTGTGCACCAGGTGGCAGGCCTTGTGAAAGCGCCGCCCATTATGGGTAAGCTGATAGAGTGAGTCTACGTGTAGAAACAGCTGCTGGAACCGTTTGGCCACTAAGGCACTGAGCTCCAAGATGGCAGAAATATACTCACTGGGCTTCCTGCAGGAGTACAACATGAAGGGAAGCAAGAATCCAGCAAAACTGAAACTCAATATTTCCCAACAGGATACTCAGTAGTCAGAGACAGATGGCCGCACAAATCCATGTGTGCCATTAGTTGTGACATTTGACTGTGAAGTCTCACTTATCTCTCTATAGCCCATCTTCATGAGCATGTAAGAGCATCACAGACATCACTCCTTCCTTTTCTTCCCTTCCCCAGTTCTAGCGCTCACCCACCTGCTTTCCAACACCCCACTCAGCTAGGAACTCTTTTCTTCCAATAATCCAGTCTTTTCTATAGGATCCCTGTATTTAGTGACAGTCCCAGCTTGTCTACAAGACAATCAGTATCTACAGAGCTGCTATTCCCGTGCTCATTTACTGTGGCTTGGAGCTGTCTCCAAACGTCCATCTCTGGGACTGTTAGAAAGTGTCAAGATCATTAAGAGATAGGGCTTAATCGAGGGTGGCTAGGCCATTATAAGTGTGCCTTGGACAGAATATTAGGACCCTGACCCTTTCCTGACTCTCTTTACTTCCTGACACGAGGAAAACATTTTCCTTAACACATGCTCCCAACAAAACAATAGCATCGAAGAGCCATCAACGAAATACTGCAAAGCTGTGAGAAAAAAACAAACAAAAAACAAAACAAACAAAAAACCCAACCAAACAAAGACACCTCCCCCTTTAAAAAATTAACTCAGTACACTAAAAAACTTTGTGACAGCAACAGAAGAGACTGTAAACACAAATACCCGGTAGAAATAATAGGAGCACATCCCCACCTTTGGCCAGCTTTCAATGTCTGATAGTTTAGACACTATGCTGCAGTATACTGATTTTAAATTTGATAAGATCTAGAATCATCTTGCAGACAAAATTCCGAGCACATCTGGATTCTCAAGACGTGTTAATTAAGGTGAGAATAAGAGCAAAATTATTCCATAAATGTGTGTTTCAGATTCTCTGCTTCCTTGCTGTGTGTGCAACGTGATCATCACTCTCACATCCTGCCACAGGGACTTTCTTAACTCGAAGGACTTCCCCTCAACTTTAACCCAAAGCAAACCCTTCCCTCTTTTAAGTTGATTCTCATTGCACCAACAAGAAGCACAGATAATACATGAAATTGGTACCAGAAATGGGGTCATAATTGTAATAATCCTGACAATGTGGTTCTGAGGCCTTTGAAACTTGTAGAAGAAATGTAGAATTTAAATGAAGAAATGTAGAATGCTGATCCAGAAAACCATTAAATTTTGTAAGAGGAGTTTAAAGGGAAATTATGATTGGAAGTTGAGAGACCAGAATGTCAAAGAGAAATGCAGACAATGGGGACCTGGATCATATGTTTTTGTTTTTGGGGGGGGGGTGGACATCAATCACTAGCTAGACTAGAATTCATTCTTGCTATTTTTCTGCCAATTAATTTGACAGCATTCTGTCTAGCCCTCAGAACATGTGTTGGGCTGAAATTAAAAGGTAATAGCCCACCAGGATGGTGCATACCTTTAATCTCAGCACTCAGGAGGTAGATACAGGTGGATCTCTGAGTTCTAGGCCAGCCTGGTCCACAGAGTGAGTTTCAGAATAGCCAAGGCTATTCAGATAAATCTTGTCACAAAAATAAAAACAAAACAACAAAACAAAAGCAAAAAGAAAGAAAAGGTGATAGACCTTTTGAATGACAAAAATTTCAAGATGGCATAAATATTCAGGTCATGGAATGACTTCTACTCACTGCACACTTGTTTGTATTTAAAATGAGAAGTGAGTTTCAGATATGCAAGAGGAAAAAGCTAGATAAGCCTAAGCATACTCATTGCTCTCTGCTTCCTGACTGCAGACACAGGGTAGCCACCCTGCAGCATTTCCTTCCACACCACCATGATGGGGTTTCCTAAAACTGTGAGCTAAAATAAACCCTCCCTTAAATTGCTTTTATCAATTGTTTTGTTTCAGCTGTGAGAAAAGTATCTAATTCAGTGTCAACCTGACAATCCCATATCTAAGGTGTCTCTTATATACCAGGTGAGTATGATCTACTCACCTGCATCCGTGGTCCTTGTTCTAAATCACCTCCTCTGAGAAGCCCCCTTTTTTCTTACTAGCCACCCATCTCTACTGTACCACCTCCCAAGTCCATATTCCAAAGGCCAAAGGGAGGGACTCACTCCTGACAGTTGCTATCAAAACTGAAGACACACTTCTGCAGACTGTCCAAGGTCATCAGGCTGATATTCTTAAACATGTCCAGACGGGTGCTGCCACCTGAGGCTAGGTGCTGCCACTTGGCCTTTACAGAAAAAGAAGCAATATCATAACCAGGTCTGTGCTCCTTGAGATTTTTCCAAATCACAACTACAATAACTGATACCCCAAATCAGCCTCCCACATCTCTGGCCAAACACTTGACCCCAGGGTTAACCAGGCAGGAGTGGGACAGAGACTGTTATGTGGAACATGAAGACTCAGGAGTGGAAAGCAGGAGCCCTAAGATTAAACCTGAGCTCTGACTGCCATGCTCTGCACCGTCACTCTGCTCACTGTCCTCTGTCTTACTTGGTATGTCTCCAGCAACAAGGTAATCTGACTGTGTTGATAAACCATGATGGAGCCCATGTGCCACTGTTTCTAGATCACTTACTATCTGGCATAGTGGGACAAGCTCTTTTATGCTTGCAAACCCCAGGTGCATTGTTTATGAGGAAAAAGTAATCTTTATCTCACCAGTTTGTTAAAAATGCAATTTGTAGCATAAGTTATGGAATTGAGTCATGACCATCATTCACAACATGTTAAGAATTCAGTAAATGGCATTATTCTTTATCTTGGGTGCCATAAGTTGGACCTAAAGCTATCTCTATGTCAGGTATGGCAATGTCCATTGTTTTCTAAGCATCTTTTCTAAATGTTCTGAGCAAAAAATCATCCAAGTGTTTTTCACCTGGACTGTTTCACAGATATTTCAGAAAACACTGACAGATCCAGAGATGGCCTTCCATGGGCAAATATCAGGCTTGTTTCAGCTTGTTATAAAAGCAGAGTCCCCAAAACTAAGTTACACAATATAGAGCATATGTTGCCTCTGAAGGCCATTTGTAATGCCCCATGGAATTTATATTCATTCAAGAAAGGGTGGAAACCAGGAATGCACAAGAGTACCTGACTACCTTCTGTATTTGAATAAGAAATCTTGTATGGCCTGGCAGAATCCACAAGTGTTGGGGTTCGTCTGGTGCTGCTATGGATTCAAGTGTTAAATTCTGTACCCTACGATCTGGTTGCCCCAAGACAAGTGAATTCTCACATACGCCAGCTTTCGTTCTGCAAATCTTGCTCCCCAAGTTAATTGATCAATAAAAGTCTAAAGCCAATTATTGAGCAATAGAGAGAAAGAGGCAGGACTTGAAGGTGAGTGAAGAGTCTCAGGACAGACCAGGGGAGGAGAAAGGAGGAGACAAATGGAGGAAGAAGCCTCCATGGTAGAAGAGGGGCTATGAACATGTAGCCAGGAGAAACAGCAAGTAACAAGGGACATAGGCAGGGGTGTAAGTTAGAATTGCTTAAAACCTAATCTAAGGCTTCCCACTTGTAAATAAAATACCAGGATTGTGTGTCTTTTATACAGGCTAGCTAGAAAACAAAAATATCATTTACACACAAGTAACCAAGCAGAGCAATCAGCTAGCAAGTAGAAAATTGTCGGCCCTTCATGCAGCTCTCACGCCCTTACCTATCTTATTCCTCAACCCAGTGTAATGTGAGTTTTCAATAAAGGCCCTTTCAATGCTTAGCCTATTCTACTACCCTTTGCTTTTGTGTTAGATTGATGACTTTGACTAATATACTCTGGAAAAAGGAAGAGGCTATAACTTCAATGAAACCCAAGCTTCAGGTGCCTTCCAGTTTCTCTCCTATGGAACTCTGTGCCATAGGAACAAGCCCAGGACGCTGAAACTATGTTAAATTAGCTTGAAGTTGGTAAAATCCCAAGCATCAAGGAATTATGCTGATTATCGGGCAAGCTGACTGACAGCTGATCACATGGCATACACATGTGACCCATACTCTGTCCATAAGAGCCAACCCCCTGACATACACCCCCTATTAGCAACACCAGACTTCATTGTTTCAAAGTCAGTGTGTGTGGAAGTGCCTTGCTTCTTATTGGCAGTTTCTAGGTAGTTTTCAAGTCTGCATTTAGTTTTTAGGGCCACCACCTGAGGAAAATAGAACCTAACTCTTTATAAGCACTTGCCATGTGTGAAGACATGGCTCTATGGTATTGTCTTGGATACAAAATGTAGAGGAAAAATAAAATAAAACCATGGCCCCATTGTGGTGGCTTAAATTTGCTTGGCCCACGGAGTGGCACTATTAGGAGGTGTGGCCTTGTTGGAGTAGGTGTGGCCTTGTTAGAGGAAGTATGTCATTGTGGAGGTGGGCTTTGAGACTCTCCTCCTAGCTCCTATAAGACAGTCACTACTGACTGCAATCTGATCAAGATAGATACATGCAAAAACTCTCAGCTCCCTCTTCAGTACTTGTCTTCCTGCACACTGCTGTGCTTCCTGCCATAATGATAATAAACTGAACTTCTGAAACCATAAGTCAGCCCCAATTAAATGCTGTCCCTTATAAAAGTTGCCTTGGTCATGGTGTCTCTTCATAGCAATGGAAAATTTAATTAAGACATCCATCTTAACCCTTTAGAGAACATATCAGATCTATCTAAAGTTCCTTTGCCTCAGACTTCAGCTGAGAACCTGAGTTTCAGAGACTCACATGCATGATGTTGGTGCTGTCATTGAAAATCTTCACATAGGGTTTCAGGATGTTGAAATGGAATGCGGGTGTCAGCAGGCGGCGGTGGCGGCTCCACTTGTCACCATCACTCACCAGGAGCCCATCTCCTGGTAGGGCATCACGGCAATGAGCATGGTATTGTGTTCCCGTCCACCCCTGGGGATTTTCCTGGGTCCTTCATCTGTAGTACTCACCCAGCCAGGGTTTCAGGAAACTGTAGAAGATTACTTCCTTTAGGGCAACTGAAGCTGACATGAACAAGGAAGATCAGGGGCCATGAAGAGGCTAGAAAATGAACTTTCAGAGAGTGTGGGGGCAGGGCTCAGCGAGGTGTATGCATGTCTGCCCCAAACCCAGCATGACATGGTTAGAGAAAGGAACACAGGATACAGAGGAGGAGGAAGAAGAGGACGAGGAGGAAGAGGAAGCAGGATACTAGCTAGATGAGATAGAAGCAACTCACTTCACTATCCTTTCGCTTGGCTTCAACATAGTCGACTATGTCTGCCCTTCAAATGTAGCACGACATCCTACAGACCTAGAATACCTGACCATCCCAGCGTGCTCTGACATCTCCTGATATAGATATGTGTCATGGATATATAGGGAGTAACATGGGCTAACATGGCTGAAGCAAACTGACCTACCCTGAATGACCCCACCTGCTTCAAAATGGGAATAGATGATTTGATATATCTCAATGTGCCCCCATAGGTAGGTCCCAGATATCGTTTTAAAATAGTCACAATAATCTCACAGATGTGGGATTGCTGTGATCCAACTGAACATCAGACTTGCCTCAAACTAGAAATCTCAGCCATGTTTCTATTTCAGTGGGACTGAAAAAGCGACAAATGTCAGAAAACTCCCAAATGGCCAAAGTGTTTTCATTAGGAGAAAAAACATAATTTCAAACAACTGCTCAAGCAAGAAAGAGATGTGCTCCAAGTGTCCACAGCTCTGTGTGAGCTCCAGATAGGGCTATTTGATTAAACTTGATTCATACCTGGGACAACATGCACCAGTTGTTATAGCGTGAATATGAAACACCCTTAATCAGTTTGGATTTTGAAAGATTTAGTTCTCAGATGCTGCCTTTATTTCGGAAGATTCTAGAAATCTTAGGAAGTGGAACTTAGCTAGAGAACGGAGGTAGAGTAAGCCCTTTGAAACATCCCCCTCTTCTTCCTTTCCTCTCCTCTTCTAGCCAGTTATGTATCTGTCTTTCTTTTATCACTATGAATCCTGAATCACAAGTAAAAATCAATTTTTGCTCAATGAAGTTGTGCTAGTAATAGCAACAAAAAGAGCTAATACCACAGGTGTGATCAGGAGATGGCTGTACCACTCTAGTTGCAGGCACACATAAGGTGGGGCAGAGGCAAGGGAATCACTACAGCAGCCCCATCTATCTGCATTCTGGTCACCTGCATAGCCGGAGACAGCGCAGAGACCTCAGCAGTAGACAAACAGGCTAGTCCAACATCCACTTGGATCAGAAAGCAGACGCCTCTTTGGTGTGGATGTGGATGGAGATAACTACTTGCCAGGTCTCCATCTACCCGTAGCATATACCCCCAGTGGTGCACATCACACCACGAGTGCCCAGGACACCTTCCTCTCAGCTCTGAATGGAGGTGAGTAGAGAGGAATCCCAAGATCTCTAGGCTTTCCAAGAAAAGGACTACTAAGGCAGAGGGCCACAGGGAGCCCTAAAGATTCTACCATCCGCTGGGGCTGAGTCCAGCCTGGGCTTCCTTCTAATATCTTCAGCAAAAAGTGGAGAAAGCTAAGAGCAAGAAGGACTAGACTACTTCAGAAATCACACAGAAGCATGAGTGCAGAGACTAGAAGCCCTCAGTTTCCCACAGACACACCACCACCAGCTTCCTCTAAGTACCTGAGGCACTGAGAACAGATCGGATGATGTCAGGGTGGCACAGAGTGATGATAGGGGTGATGGGACCCAACCATGTCATGAAGCCCTGGGGGTAGGTGGCCACCAACTTAGTCACCTCCTTCAGACCATGCTCAGTGGGAGTGATCTACAAGCGAGAGAGGAACAGTCACTTCCTGAGTTGGTTTGTCAGGAGTCAAGCACATTATGCTACGACATGGTCAGAGAGAAGCTGATACAGTATGACTTCTGGATATCTCTAGGATGGTGTTTCCAGAAGGCATTAGTGTTTGCATCAGTAGTCTCACTCAGGATGACCCACCCTCTTCGGGGTGGGGCAGCACCATCCAACCCACTGAAGAAACATAGAGTAGTGGTCCTGAACCTTCCTAATGCTGCCACCCTTTAATACAGTCCCTCATGTTGTGGCGACCCCCAAACATAAAATTATTTTGTTGCTACTTCATAACTGTAATTTTGCTATCATTATGAATCATGATATATATAAATACCCAATATTTCATATGCAACACACGTATCAACCTGCGTGTGGAGACCCCTAGGTTAAGGACTAGTAATATAGAGCAATTAAATAAAGGAATCTCAATTTCATTTCCTGACTGCAATAGACATCTTCTTCTGCTGACAGACATCACAGTGCAAGTTCTTGACTTTTGGACTCTTGTTGCAGGATATTTGATCACACTGTGAACCCCAAGTTAGTGTTTACTAGAAAAAAATGTTTCTAGTTGTAGTGTGGTTCAGCCCTTCACACTCAACTTTGATCCCTCTGATTGAAACACAGTCACACCCTTAGTACACACCTTTAATCCCAAACAATGAAGGTAAAATTAATTTGTAGAAAGAAGCACCCATGCTTGAAACTGATGTCTAATTGAGTGGCAGACAATGTAACGAATCAGAGAAAGAGATGACAGACTAGGATATGCCCAACTCCCACGAGAAGAAAGAGAAAGCTTCCTTCTTAAGAGAATAGTGTGGAGAAAAAGAAGAAAAGGAGAGAGGAGAGAGAGATTGATTTTGAAACAGTTAACCTTGAAAGGAGTTTGGGCCAGAATAGCTGAGTTAAACCAGCCAGTCAGAGTTCAGAAAAAACAAACAAGGGTCAGCTTATTCATCAGTAAGTCTCAGAGACTGAAAACTTCTAGGCCTAGGTAAGATTCAACAGAGGCCAGGAGTTAGCTGGTTCAGGCAGTAAGGATCAGAAATGACAATTCCTCATGCAAATAAAAGTTGCATTTACAGACTCTGCCCTATCCCATCGGCTCCTCCCTCACGGATCTCCCCATATACAGGATGCCAACCCTTTGGCCTCAGATTGAATTATTTACAGGTTGGCTTCCACCTTGCAGATGGCATATTGTAGCTTAGAATCCATAATTACATAAGCCAATAATCATAACACAATATACCCTCTCTCTGCCCTCACTCTTTATACATGTGTGCATTGTATAGAATTTATATGTGTATCATGTCTCTCTATATACATATATATGCACTTAAATAATCATATAAATACAATCATGTGTTGCATAATGATGTTCTTATCACTGACACACTACATATGTGTGGTCCTAGTCCTATAAGCTCATAATGGACTCAAAGGATTCCTATGCATAACATCTTTTATTATCGTTATCCTATTTATAGATGTATTTAGATATATAAACACCATTGTTTTACAGATACTTACAATATTCAGGTAGCACTACACTGTAAAGATTTGCACACATAGCCTACACCAAATGGGTTTGTGCTGAGTCGTTCTCCATCTTTCTCAGGGTTATGGCTGAGTCTCAAGGGTCTATCCCAGGGCCAATGGAAAAGTTATACAGCCTACTTCAGAGACAGCCACCTTGACTTGAGAAGATGAATGTTCTCTGGTGGTATTAAGCCCTAGGGAAAACCATCAGGGAAGGTCTCATGGGGCTTAGGGGTGTCTAGGCAACACTGTAGCCTGTTAGTTGTACCTGACAGCTTGACAGGGCCTCTGCTCACCTCAGAAGGGAGTCTCAGTTGTGTGGTATTGCCCAGATCAGAGTGGACTGTGGGCACATCTTTGGGGGATTGTCTTAATTGTTAGTTGACTTAGAAGGTCCCAGTCCATTCTATGTGGCACCATTTTCTGCACTGATGATCCTGGACTGTATTTTTCAAAAGCTAGCTAAGTACATGCTTGAAAGTGAGCAAGCAGGCAGTGTTTCTCCACGCTTTCTGTCTCGAGATCCTGCTGGAGTGCCTGCCTTGACTATAAACTCTTTCCTCCTGAAGTCGTTTTTGGTCAGTGTTTTATCACAACAACAGAATAAAAACAAAAAATGGATTCTCCTACATGTTAGTGTCTGCATGCCCTACAGGTCTGCAGTTCTAACGGCACAAAAGGACTGCAGAGCAAGACTAGTCAACCCCAGGACAAGAGGTAACCACTAACTCTCTAGATGGGCAGCAGTTCCTACCTAAGAGCCCCCATGCTCTCACTAAACATCACCCTGTGGGTGATGTCACTGACATGTATGCATGTTGTGAGCTTTGCTATTTACATGTGAAGCAACTAAGACCAAATCACCCAAAGGCAAGAACAGACTTGGTCAAAGTCCAAGGTGTGGGGTGAAGGAAAGCTTACGGGAGGGGGAGTAGACAACTCTTATCCAGGTTGAGCAACAGGACTCAATGGTCCATCTTAGGGAAGAACTTCCAGCTTTTAAATAAAAAGTGCTTCAGGAACAAGAGGCAGAAAGACCATCCATAGGTCTCCTGCTACATGTGTGATAGGAAAGGAATTCCAGAGATTACCCCCAAAAAACATGGAAACCCTGATACAGATTGACAGAAAAATGGCACTGACCTTGGACAGAGCTTCTCAAGAAGCCTCAAGTCCAGCAGACAATGAGGGAACACTAGGGGTTGTCACTCTGTATGGTCTACCCTGGAAGCCCCTCAGTGTCCACCAGCGTAAGAAAAACAGACCATAAATGAATCCAGAGCAAAGTAGAGATGGAGGGGAGGGCAGGAATATGAGAAAAGCTGAGCTCCATTCCTGGTCCATTCACTCCAAAATAAAAGATCCACAGTCTGCTGCTGCACTCACCATGCCCAGATGACCCAAGAACCAATTCCATTTGGGAGGTTGAGGGAAATCACAAAGATGATGATATGTTCTGTAGAAGACATAGGTCTGAGTCAGGACACGGGCCAAGAGCCAGGAAGCTCCGATCAGCAGCAAAAGCAGCCATGGTGAGGCCTCCAGCCTCAGTCCCAGCCAAGACAAGTCCAACTGTGGCATCCTGTGGGGCAGATGGACAGACAGTGAGATTGGGAGGTCGGAAGAGGGTTGGGCCATCAGGGATAATGGACCAGGGATATGAATAATGAAGGCTGTTGGTAGGAGGAAAGGAATACCAGAGATTCTCCATGGGGTGGAGAGAGGCAGTAAGATGGAAGGAGGAAGGGGAAAGGGAGGGACGG